GATCCTGCCCCTCTATTCAGCCCTGGTGAGGCCTCACCTGGAGTACTGTGTCCAGTTCTGGGCTCCCCAGTACAAGAGAGACATGGCACTGCTGGAGAGAGTCCAGCGGAGGGCTACCAAGATGATTAGAGGGCTGGAGCACTTCTCCTATGAAGAAAGATTGCAAGAGCTGGGCCTGTTCAGCCTGGAGAAGAGAAGATTGAGAGGGGATCTCATCAACGTGTACAAGTATCTGAAGGGGGAGTGTCAAGAGGATGAGGCCAGTCTCTTCTCCGTGGTGCCCAGCAACAGGACAAGAGGCAATGGGCAGAAACTGAACCACAGGAAGTTCCATCTGAACCTGAGAAAAAACTTCTTCACTGTGAGGGTGACAGAGCATTGGAACAGGTTGCCCAGAGGGGTGGTGGAGTCTCCTTCGCTGGAGATATTCAAAACCCGTCTGGATGTGATCCTGGGCAATGTGCTCTAGGTGACCCTGCTTGAGCGGGGAGGTTGGACTAGATGATCTCCAGAGGTCCCTTCCAACCTAAACGATTCTGTGATTCTGTGATTCTGTGTGAAGGTGTGAAGGGCAGCTACTTCTAACATACCCAAAACTGAGACTCAGAGAAAATTCGAGGCTCCATAGTGCTGTTACCTACACAAACACATTCAAAACAAGCCCACGCGGCCAAGGAAATGGCTTCTGACGTTCATTTAAGGAAGCATATGGCAGAGCAAAACGTTAGACTTCCTGCCCTGAGTGTTAGCAACAGTTTTCTTTTTCTGTTGCCACCAACCATGTCTGTACAGTCCCCAGGGTGCTTTTATAGCTCCTTAAGAAATACAGATTCCCTGAATATTACAGGGACTCACTGTCCCTCCAGCCCTAGCCCAGTTCTGATTTTTCCGGATTCTGCCTCTACCATGAAGAAAAACACGGATTTTTTTGGAAGGAGAGTCTGCTAGCCATCTCACAGTGGCTGTCTGCATGCCATGGGGCAGCGTTGCTCCTTACCTGATGGGAATGCTGTTGCGTGTCCACGTAATCTCTGGCTCAGGGTATGACTCCACAACACACACGAACTTGGCAACGTCCTCCACCAGCGCATCCACCGTTTCCAGAGGAGTGCTGATAAAGGGAGCTGCACAGAGGAGAAGAAAATGAGAAAAACCTCCTGGTGCCCTCCGGACAAAGGATGCTGACGGTGCCAGACTCCTGGCAGGGGCAGGACAAATGTGGAGGCAGACACATCCCTGCAGGGTCACTCCACGGATTTTCCCACAGTGTGGATGCACTTTATGCATCGTCCATGCGTTTGCTTTAACTGAGGTCGCTCAATGTTTGTTTGCTGCAGTCCACTGTTGTTTGCTCTACATTTTGCATTTTCCCCGGTGCTCTCTG